AAAGAGAAATAATAACTAAACGTACTAAAAAAGTAAAATAAATAAAAGTAAATAAAAAAATAAAAATAAATTCAAAGAATGAAAAATTTAAAAATATGTTAAAAGAACTAAAGATTTAAATAAATTGAAAGAACTAAAAAATAAAATAAATTAATTAAAATAATTAAAAAAGAAAAAAAAATTTAAGAAAACTGGAAAAGAAAAAAAAATAAGTCAAAAAATAAAAGAACTAAAAAAAACAATAAATTAGAAGAACTAAACAAAAGTAGTAAATTTAAAGAACTAAAGAAGAGAATAGATTAATTAAAAGAACTAAAAATAAAAAAATATATTGAAAGAACTAAAGAAATAAATAAATTTAAAGAACTAAAAAAGAAAATAAATTAATTAAATGAACTTGAAAAGAGGAAAAGAAATTAGAAATTTAAATGAATACTAAAGAAGAAAATAGATTAATTAAAAGAACTAAAAATAAAAAAATATATTGAAAGAACTAAAGAAATAAATAAATTTAAAGAACTAAAAAAGAAAATAAATTAATTAAATGAACTTGAAAAGAGGAAAAGAAATTAGAAATTTAAATGAATATATAATTTCCCTGTGGCCCATGCAGGTCTCGAACCTGCGACCTTCGCGTTATTAGCACGACGCTCTAACCAACTGAGCTAATAGGCCGTTCGTTGTTAGTTTTGGAACTTTAATAGTAATCATATGAACTCATTCACGGCCTTTTCAAGAATCTTTCTAAGAATAAGGTCGGTTAAATGTAATAATCCATTTTATACCCAATAAAAAGTATTCTCTCTATCTTCTCTCTCAATCCGACGACTACTGTATATGAAGGGAGAAGCTCTAATTCTTCGTTTCACTGTAAGTCTACCTGTACCATTTCTCTTACATTTAATAGGATGATTGTTATGAACAAATGAATCTCCACTTTTTCTTTGAATTCAGACTTCTATTGCTATGATTTCTAAATTCTTTCATATGTTTGAAAACTTGTTTGGTTCGTTTTCCTATTTGAAACCATCAGAGCTTCGCAAATGGTTAAATCTTTATTTTTCTCCAATTTTCCGCTGTTTCTTTGCATTCACGTACGAGAAAACAGAGGTAAATTTAGGGTTCTTTCTCTATTGATTCATTAGGAACATTTTTGAGTTTTCCAAACAATTGATTGGGAGTATAGACGATAAAAGCCATGGATTCTTTGGAGTATGGATACCTATCAGATGATGATACTCCAGTGATGAAGACGATCAAGGGAGCAACCATGGGGTTAGTTGCAGGGACAGTGTGGGGAACTGTGGTTGCTTCCTGGCACGATGTGCCTAGGGTTGAGAGACATGTGGCCCTTCCTGGTCTCATAAGGACTGCAAAATTGATGGGGGATTATGGGGCTACTTATGCTGCAGTTGGTGGAGTTTATATTGGTGTTGAGCAATTGATGGAGAAATACAGGATGAAGAAGGATTTTGTTAATGGAGCAATTGGTGGTTTTGTTGCAGGAGCTACCATTTTTGGTTTCAAAGGTATTTCTGTTTCTTCTTTTTTCTGGTTATTGAAGCGTGCCTGAGATTGGTTTTTTAGTTGCCCTACCTGTTCATTTGTATTGATTGTTTCCTTATGTTGGTTATTTAGTTGCCCCACCTGTTCATTTGTATTGATTGTTTCCTTATGTGTTAATTAGTTGTCCCCATCTATATATTTCTTATTTTTTTCCCCTTTATTTCAGGTTATTGAATAGTGCCTAATATTGTTTCTAAGGTTCATGATTTGTTTGTTTCTTTTGATAAGGTTTTTTTATACGATTTGTCACCCTGATCTATGCATTAGTATTTTCTCTTATTTTCTGGTTATTGAGTTGTGCCTAATATTTCCTTATTTATTCTCCTTATCTGTTCGTTTCTTCTAATCATTAACTTTTGTTTTGATTAGTTGCCCCCATCTGTTTATCTCTTCTTCTTTTTGGGTCTTCTTTTTCGGTCATTGAATTGTGCCTAGGATGTTTTCTTGACTACCTGTCTGTTCATTTGTTTTCCTTGTTATCTTTATGTTTCGGATTTTTGAATTGGCTCTTTCAATATTGCTGTTGCTGGGCCACAAGTTTAGTTGTTTTCCTTTTCATTCTGAACTGATTGACTTGACAATAAATCAGTAATACATTTAACTCTGAGCTGGTTGACTTGAACAGTAAATCAATAATACATTTAGAACGATTACTCGTTATATAGCATTGATGCGCTGCGCATAGCATTGAAGAAGGAGCATTGTCCTATATGATTCTATTTTTTTAGATTTGTTTTGGTGTTTATGGTACTATAATTAGTGGGATTCTGCTTGTAGGGTAGCTTGCTTTTTGTAGCGCTCGAATGCTAACAAAATTGATAAGTTCCCAGATTAAATGAGTTCATAAGAGTTTGAATGACGACTTTTCCCATCGTACTTGTAAAGTAGTAGATTATGGATCTGTCATTTTGGAATTTTTCCTATGTGATTCCATGGATTCCTAGCTTGTTAAGTGCTCTGTAGAACCATTGCAAAGCCCTTGGGCCAAGTTTCTGAAACATTTTACATATTGGGGTCTTTGTCTAGCCAAGTCTTTCGAGTATAATTGAATTTATAAACTACAAGTTTCTTTAGTATCTAAAGAATCCTAGATAAAGGGATTTTGACCTTCTTAGCCTGGTGCTTGTAAAATGCTGCTTTCTGAGAGAAAACCACCCCTTTTAATTAATTTAAAATTAAAAGAAACCATATATAAGGATTAACAACCAGAGATACACGCCACTATGCAAGCACGGATCTTTCCATGACCGGGATTAATTTGTCATGTCAATCAACTGCCATAGCACTAAGGTAATAGATATGCAATATTAGATGTTGAATCTAGGTGCAAATGGGCTTTAAAATATGTGCTTAAAACAATAATCTAGGAAGAGTGAAGACAAGTTTATTGCTTTAGACACTTAATAAGGTATACCTGATTTAGCTTGATACTTTGGAAGTATGATTTCTGGAATGAGGGGCATACGAATTGGCTCCCATTTAACAACATGAAGCCATTATATGACACTAACTGCTTCATTGCCCATTGTATAACACACTTATCGAAATATAACAGCTGCAATATTGAAGTTACATATGCTTTCAAATATAAAATGAAAAAAAATATAACATATACTTTTCAAATATACTTTCCAAAGCAATGGTGGTGATGAATTCCTTCTTGATCATGGAATAAATCACTGAAAATCTTGCCCACGTACACTGAGGCAGAACCGTGTGGCCGAGAGAAAATATAGGCACATTGTGGGGAGTGCACTCTTTATAATGCACATGTGGAGTTCCTCTTGAGTTATGGAATGAGCGATTTCACACCACTATATATGTTATAAATTGGCTACCATTTACGGCAATTGGTGGAAAGTCCCTTATTTCATGTTGTATGGTAAGGCATCCTTATTTCAATGCTCGTCTTGTAGCAAAAGGATATACTATGAGCATGGATTAGACTGCGACGAGACCTTAAACCCTTAGTCAAAATGGGGATGATTAGACTCATTCTTTCTCAGGCTATGACACATGGTTGGCTATTACATCAACTATATGTGAAGAATGTGTTCCTCCATGGTAACTTGAAGGAAGAAGTATATGTGATGTAGCCGCTGAGTTATAGGTGGCTGAGAAAAGGCATTAACGGCATGGTTTGGAAGATTTTCAGACGAGATTTTCAAGAAATCAATATAATTACCTTCTTTTCATTGACATTAGGAAACATGGAATAACAATACTACTTCTATATGTTGATGACGTTATGATAATTTGAAATTCAGAGGAACACATAAGAGAGATTAAGTCTACTTTGACGAGCTTTCAAGTGAAAATCTTGGAAGAACTTAGTACTTCTTGGGAGTACAAATGGATAAAAGAGAAGGCTGATTGATCTTCACAGAAAAAGTATGCATTAGACCTGCTTAGTAGAATTAGGATGAAAGAATGTAAGCCGAATATTACTTCTGCTTCTATAAATCAAAAGCTAAAGGAAGAAGACATTGAACTTTATGACGATCGAAGACAATAATGTAACATTGTTGGAGCTTTGAGAAATACCTCACGTTCACGAGGCTAGACATTGTCGTTGTCACATATCATCTATCACCATACAAGCATGAACTGAGAGTGGGGTATATGGATGCAGTCAAACAAACATTTTTTTTGAGAGAAAGGTTAATTTTTGAATAGAAGGTGTAAACTTACATGAAGAAGAAATATCAGACGGCATCCCACAAGTTGGGTGCTCAGACTACATTTGTATTTGTTAGGGTGGGAAAGAGAAAAGAAGGGGGAAAAGAAGAGAGAAGAACGAGGAGAGAGAGACTAAAATTTAAAGCAAACTAATATCCATCGAGAAGTTCATTATTAAAAATATTGCTCTACAGTAAACAGAAGAAGAGAGGGCATTGCAAAAATCATTGCAAGAGCCAGGAGTAAAGAGAGCTACTGCATGAGTTTGAAGTCGGGAAAGGTCTGGGGTTGCTGCTGTTGGAGTTAAAAGCTGAGACACAACTTGGCTCTGTGGTGAGTGTAGGGGAATTTGGGGCAGGGGTTGCTGATGTGGTGATGCAATCAAACAAATAGTAAGGTAATATAAGGTACAATGAGTGATGGATTAGTATACTCCCAATGTATGTTGTCATGCAGATTCTTTAGTTGTTGTGGCTTTTTCGAGTGCAGATTGGGCAAGAGACCTTGATTGAAAGAGGTCCATTTCTGGGTACTGTGTATTTTTTGGTAGGAATCTTATTCGTTCAGTAGAAAACAAAGGATTGTTGCACGTTCTAAGCACTAAAGCAACGGAGATGGATGGCTGCTCTTACATTGGGTTCATCATCAGTATTGTCCTCCTTACATACACTTCTTCCTCCTGTGTCTCATGCGAGTCAGCCTCCTCGTCTTCAATCTCTGGAACTGATGCCAATGTCAAACCAATTCTCTTCCTTCGTGATTTAGTGCTGCGCGGCATACAACCAAGTAAGGTACTCATCATTGAACACCCGCTCTGATTGTGGATGTACTATCAACTCACTTGGTTCATCTGGTTCATCTAATACAATTGGGTCCACATCCATGTGCTCTTGGAGATTCAAATACAAGAAACCCCAAATTAACCGATCACTGAGTATCACACACTCAAACTCGAAATATATAAAATTGATAATCTAATAACAAGCCCAAGTTATCGTGTGCAATAAAATTAGGTAAAATAAATAAGAGATGGAATACCCCAATCACAAGAGGAAATCAAGAGCAAACCACAACACCAAATTTTACGTGGTTCACCCTGTAGGGCTATGTCCACAGGCAAGCCGGCAAGCAAAATTCCATTGTCAAAGAGAAATTTACCAGGGGGATATAATGTTACTTCAATGGAAAAAACCGGTGAAAATCCTCACCAAAATATCTTCTTGAAACCACCTAAATCTCACGATTTACCTAGTGATTCTCTTTGGATGATCCAAGAATTTGAGCAATACAAGCTCACACAATCTCTCTACAAGGAGGGACTAGAGATCACCTTCTTGACCTCTTTCCTTTTCTCCCCTTTACCAAAAGGAAACCCTACCTTTTTAGAGAGTGAAAGAAAGGAAAATCCAAGAAGGAAAATCATAGGGGAAATGGCGCCTGTTACACCTTTTTTAACTTACAGTAACTTAGTGACCAAAAAAGACCCAATACATTTACATAAAAGACAAATTTGTCCATGGTGATTTTCTATCACCATTAGCAATCTCCACTTTGATAGTAAATCACCTACTTGCCTTGTCGAGAATTCCCATGTTTACCTCTTCATGAAGCCTAGTGAAGCTAAGCGCCATTCTAACTTCTCAACCGGAAGCGTCTACGTGAGCATATCTGCCACATTCTCACCAACTTAACTAATCCATTTTCAACAGCTTGTCTAACATAATGGTATCAGACCAATATGTGCTTCATCCTCTTGTGGTAAACCGAATTTTTGGCGAATTACTAGCACTCATGTTATCACATAATGTTTCCATGGGTTTGGAGTTGATCCCCAACTCAGCCTTAAGAACTTCTTCTTTGCTTACTTCTGTTGCCGCCATGTATTCGGCCTTAGTGTTGACAATTGCATTGTTAACTGAAGCTTAGACATCCAACTTACTGGTCCATTTGCAAACTTGAAAACATAACCGGTAGTTGATCTTCCTCTATCAAGATCATCGGCATAATTTGCATCAATATAGGGGCATAGCCTTGAATGTGTCTCGAGCCTTTGCTAAATGTCATGGCATAATCACTTGTGTCTCTCAAATAGCAAAGCACCCATTTTGCACTTTCCCAATGAGCCTTTTCGGGATTTTCCATAAACCGATTCAAGACACCAATCGACTGTGCAATGTCTGGTCTAATACACACCATAGCAAACATTAGGCTTCTCACAACACTTGCATATGACACCCTAGCCATAGTCTTTTTCATCTTCAGTCTTTGGACTTTGCATGGAAGA